ACCAGGATATCTCTAGAGGAAGAAGGTTTCCAATGAGATCACTATAAACACATCCACCAGGATATCTCTAGAGGAAGAAGGTTTCCCAATGAGATCACTATAAACACATCCACCAGGATATCTCTAGAGGAAGAAGGTTTCCAATGAGATCACTATAAACACATCCACCAGGATATCTCTAGAGGAAGAAGGTTTCCAATGAGATCACTATAAACACATCCACCAGGATATCTCTAGAGGAAGAAGGTTTCCAATGAGATCACTATAAACACATCCACCAGGATATCTCTAGAGGAAGAAGGTTTCCAATGAGATCACTATAAACACATCCACCAGGATATCTCTAGAGGAAGAAGGTTTCCAATGAGATCACTATAAACACATCCACCAGGATATCTCTAGAGGAAGAAGGTTTCCAATGAGATCACTATAAACACATCCACCAGGATATCTCTAGAGGAAGAAGGTTTCCAATGAGATCACTATAAACACATCCACCAGGATATCTCTAGAGGAAGAAGGTTTCCAATGAGATCACTATAAACACATCCACCAGGATATCTCTAGAGGAAGAAGGTTTCCCAATGAGATCACTATAAACACATCCACCAGGATATCTCTAGAGGAAGAAGGTTTCCAATGAGATCACTATAAACACATCCACCAGGATATCTCTAGAGGAAGAAGGTTTCCAAATGAGATCACTATAAACACATCCACCAGGATATCTCTCGAGGAAGAAGGTTTCCCAATGAGATCACTATAAACACATCCACCAGGATATCTCTCGAGGAAGAAGGTTTCCCAATGAGATCACTATGGCGACCATAGAGCTTGCCCTTTCTTTGAATATTTTTCAACCTGGTTTTAAATAAACATTGTTTTGTAACTTTTCAGCATGCCGTCAACATTTATCACGGAAATAATGATAATCTGAGTCGGCTCTATTGATTATCGAACCGACAGTGAGATGTAAACACAGTAGGAGCAGGATTGTTACCATCACGGAAAGGGAAGCTTCATCTGAATATATTCCTTTACTCATTCTGAAAGTCAAGATTGAGTTAAGCGGCTGATGTGGAAGAGACTGTGGTGTTATGATTTCAAGTTCAAAGTGATATATATGATCGACATTGTCAATACATTCTTGCTCTTTAAAAGCAGCCTATCTTCAATATATCTGTAAAAGAAGTTCAAGGACTGATAAGCTCTTCATAAATCAGCCTCATGCATATAATATCGTTAACTGAAGTGTTTTAGTTTTTTAATTACTCGAGGTATTAGAAGGAGTTTAAGCCTATGTTTTCGACTACGCATCACGTATGTTGATATGATGCTACCTAAGGTCTAGTCAATGAAGCGAGGGAACTCATGGCAAGCAAGGATCCAAAGATTGGAAAACAATATTAAGGTATGAGCTATAATCAATTATTAGAGATTTTCAAGGTCAAAACTCAAAAGATCAGCAGCGTAATGATATGAATGATGAAACTATGTGATCAGTAAAATAACCAACTCAGGACTTACCCTTACTTTAAAACAACATGACGTTACCGAACGATACCTAGCGTCATTTATCCCCGTCTCTTCTGGTACCACCTCGATAAACACCCACTCTGTTGGCCATTTCATATTAGAAACTGGACATTACAGTTATTTGCAAGTGGGCGAGTGAGCTTGTCAATTCTTTGTAACTGATGTTGAGAACGAGGATAATTTTCTCTGTGATTGCCCTGTTTAGTGTGATATGAGATTGGATTTATTTATCTTTGTCGTAAATGTCTCAAATGCCTCTTACGTTTAACGCTCTTCATTCATGTGATAGGCATTTATACTTTCGGGAAAATGTTCTTAATTAAGTACTCTCAAAGAATGAAATTATCATAAAATATATATTGCGTTTTGAATTTATATTTATTCATTCAAATTAGTCTCAAAATATCAGGAATTCATGAAGAAAATTGCAGAAATACCGCGTTTAGCTTTAGGATATGATTGCTCTTGTTTGTGATGTGTCGACATCCAACAATTGTCATTAGGATCCGACTAGATATCTCTTTTAACGACGACTCTTTAATTATTTAGTATAATATTATATATTTAATGTGGGGTTTTAATAATGTATTTGAATGTTGTTTTTGCTTATATATCGTACATGTTATGAGTGACATTTAATTAAACAAATGATGAATGGAGCGTTCGCGATTGGTCGTATTTGACGTGTCCTCATTTGGCGTATATTACCTGTTCGGTTGGGTTCTTGGTTTTCCGTATTAGCACGTGTCTATGTTTAACATGTGACATGATTGCTTGTGAGTGAACGTGTTTTTATAAAACTTCGATACGACCGTTAAACGGCCAGGACCTCCGGAGTACAAGACGAAAGCTAGTGGACAGGTAACACTTGGCCTGACTTCGTGTCTGTGAATGTAACTTGTTATTATAGTATTTATTCTTGTTATTGATGTCTGATGCTCTTGTAATGAAAGGAAACGAAAATAATATATTCTTTGCCTATTCATATTTCGAAAAAGGACACTTTTATGGTCGTTTTTTTACCTTCCATTTGGGGGTAACGAACGAACAACGAAACAGATAAATCTTAATTGAGGAATATTTTACTCTGACATTGTTTTTCTTTTAAATCTAGTTTATTTATTGCGTATAAATGATACGAAACTGTTACGAAAATACGCTAAGATAGTTTGTAAACAAGATGATAGTATGCCTGAAATGGGAGAATGGCGCTAACGCACTATGTTAGTATATTTCTCAAGACAAATTAAATATACTATATAGAATATTGTATAGCATTAAAGGCTACCTGAGTGGCAAGTATTTATAACAGTTATAGTAAACGTTCATTGACCTTGTTGAACTTGTCTTTCTTTTTAATTTTCAAATGTCTTTTCCTTATCAAAAATAACTTCAAATGGGATATTTCATAAGATTTGTTTTTGGTCGCTCTGAAATTAACGTTTAATATCACTTCATATCTTTATTAACAACATTTCTAGAACATTATAATCACAATATCATAGGCGTTTTGCATTTTTAATATTACCGGTGATATTATCGATAAAGCATCATTGTTGTAATACCACAAAATGGGGTTGCCGGGTGACGCAGTGGATAGCGCACTCAGCTTTAGGAAGACGGCCGGAGTCCGATTTAACGCATGTACTGTATGTTCTCCGAGTACTCCGGTTTCCTCCCCCATTATAAGATCTTGCTCGCTACCATCCGGGCCAACAAGTTTAGTGATTTATATACATATACTTGTTATGTGATAAACTGGTTCGATATTTGTTGTAAAATAAATGTTGTTTAGGTTTAGTTTAAACTGTATTTATTTCTGGTAATATAAAATACATTATATTTTCAATATATAATCAACAACGATTCGGAAACAAGTACTAAGTACTTATACAATGTCCGTTCGTTAAGTTAGATATACGATATTGTTACACCTCAAGTGAATTTCTAGCTATTTGATTGGTTGGGAGAAAATTAAACAAAAATCTCTGTCACCCTCCGAAAATACATTGGTTTTAAGGGGCGCGGGTGATATTGCCATGAGACAGTGAAAAATATCACATGCGCAAAAAATGTGCGTGTACCGCTTCGTTTCCCCACCGTGATGGTCACAAGAACGTTTGACGGCAACAGCCAATTTCATCAAGCGCCGGTGCGATAGCGATTGTAAACAGCAGACTATCAACAAACAAGATGTCATTATCGAGGTTTGCTGCCGTTTCTGAGCTACAAAGACTTTTGGTGTAACAAAATAGATATGACATTCATTAGCAAGTGACAGTGAATATTGTCAACCCTCAAAAACCCATTGTCACCCTCGGCTTCGCCTCGGGTGACAATGGTTTTCTCGGGTTGACAATATTCACTGTCACCTGCTAATGAATGTCATGTTTATATACTGACAGCAGATATAGTAATCATTAAATCATATTGAAATAATTAAGTTCTAATGCATATACATAAAAAAAATTCGTTGAATGGCAGAAATATAAAATGTTTAGGTTCAAATATTGCTAGTACTTTTTTTACTTTTACTTAAGTTTATACAATATTTATAAGAAAAAAGATAATTAAAAAATATATAAAAGGATTTGATGCTTATGTTCCAGCAGTTATCATATTTTTAATATAAATAACTTTTTAGCATGAAGCACTTTGTAATCACTAATTTACAACAATACTAGTATTTTGTATTTTAATATCACTATTATTTTGAACTTACGGTATAACATGAATAGTTTACTAATTGACAAAAATTCTTGGCTAACAAGGGTGTATAATTTTTGAACTGTTTAATTTTAAATTCTAGTATCTATAGAAATAAATCAATACACTTTATCTTATTTCGTTCTGCGTTTAAAATATAATTTGATGTGAATCATAATTGTTGAAATAGGAATAAGAATCAAGTTTTACACGTATATAAATCAATATCATAGAAATATAGGTGTCTAACTTAGTTTAACTGAGTTTATTCTGAGCGCAGGCCTCTATATTCAGATCATAGTCCGTATTTATTAAATCATAATATATAACAATGTCTTCGATGTGACCTCAATCCAATGTTGTTGTGAATCTCCTTTCATCACTTTCCCAAAATTTATCAATGCGGTTTTCGAAAGTTATTAGATTTGGTGCTTGAATCACGTTCTCATGTAGGGAATTCCAGTTGCTAACAACTCGTTGAGTAAATGAGTATTTCTTTCCAGACTCAGTGAATTGTATCTTGTTTTATTGACAAAAGTCCCTGTGATGCTGTTGTATCATAGACTCCCCTAGTGTCTAGTATGGTGTAAGAAGAATCGCTTTTACCTCGGGCCCTCGCCTGTTAACGTTTTACGACAAGGGGATGCAATTATATTTAAACGGTATTTTATTTAAGTTAATTATACAGGACGTGTAATCTACATGGCGATGTTGACTACATGATGTTTGTAAGGTACATCTGAACTTACCTGGCAGGTGTGTGTACCACATGGTATCTAGCATCATCGATGAGCCTGCCCCCTATCATTAATAGGTTTCCTGTGTATTGTATATATGCATAGCTAAGTGTGTAAAGGTAAACAAAAAAAGAGTATTGCCCTGGGGCCCTGACCGGACGAGTTGTCGCGTCATTAACGGTCACTATTGCCGTTTAAACCCTCTGTACAACAGAACTAGAACGTTCCAAAAACCGAACCATTACCTAACGGGATTATGTTTGGATTGTTACATCCATGGACAACTTCAAAGCTCCATCACTTGATTCACTACCAGAGGTAAGTGATGATGACGTGTTCTATCTGTGAGTATGCTGTGAGAGTATCTGCGTGTCAGAAGGTGTGCAGGTCATCCACAGGTGTGTGACTGTACTAGCTTATATGTGGCTCCCACGCCACTATACGTACATTTATACTGTACTTATAATACCAACTTGTACGAAAGGTCATGACGACATCAACAATAGTTCGTTCAAACTGAAGTCATAATTATTTCATGTCATATAACAGGAAAAAACAGAGTGTACTTGACATACATGTCACTTGTTGACATAAGACCAAGACGCGTGACACACTGGATAACACAAATTGTTGAATCGCCCACATTTACATTTATTGCAGACTGGAGGGGCTCGATGTTGATGGACACGTGCCGTGACAGATAGGTATCGTATGATCCGGAGATACACATTAACGGTTCTTTGTTTCAAATCGTCAATTAATCATGTCATCCACAGGTTTAAGCAAATCTCATCGCCCGTATATTAAATTGCGCATTTCGTCATTTTGTGATATTTTGCTTGCACGGGTCTTTGCATTAAGTAAGTACACTATTTTCATCAACTCATCAATCAAAGTAAATTAAAGAGTAATAATTAAAGGACAAAAAACGTCGATCCGTATTCACGTTGTATGAATTATGTACATGTATAATGCATGAAACGAAATGTTCCGAGTGGTCGAAATTTATTCAGGACATCTCGGAGTTTTACATCCACTATACAGACTATTTTCTTTGATGCCCCGTGTGCGGTAATGTAAATTTCACCCCATTTTTTATCAGTTTCCAAAAATATTAATTAATTTAAATAAGTTTTTTTTTCTGATCAGATGTTGTGTTCAGATCTAGTCGTTTAAAAAAAAAAAAAGCTCTTTGTAGATTAAGTTGTATGTTTTGCAAAATCCATGTAAAATCCATATTCTTGTATCTTGTATCTTGTATCTTGTATCTTGTATCTTGTGTGTCGTTAACAGTTTTTGTTATCTAGCTTTGAATGTATACAGGCAACAGGTTTAAATCAGAACTTTTTTGGCGTGGTCTGTCCACAGGAGGAGAACAGGACAATGACCGACATTAACGCCAATAACACTAAGACGGTCATCTTTTACATTGTATATGTATGTTAACTAAAGCCATAGAACTTCCCAGGCGGATACTTGTATGTAATACTGTAGGGGATCGCTGAACCTGTTACTTATACAATGTCTAACGCCTCAAAATAAGCCAAACACTGCTGTCAATTCATTTTTGCAGTCCAGAGTCATGCTAACTGAATTAACAATCTTAAATCTTTGTTTTTGGCAGACATTTTACTCAATCACACTTGCACTTTATCAAAATTGTGCATTTCGTTATCCTCAGGCCATCCTTACCTGCCGAGGAGGTGAAACTTATTATAATTTGTGGACGGAATAAAGCACTTTTTAGAATATTTTCTTATAGTAAGAATTCATTTAAACATGGGTTGAATTGTTATCACGGGGAGACTGTTTGTTATCGTTTGACAATATTAAAACTAAGGCACCTGTTCCCATCCATCACTGGGTGGGGTAAACTCTAAGAGTGGAAAAACGACCAATTTTTCAAAATTCCTTTCTTGTTGATACAGAAATGAATAAATGAAACCGTTGTTATGGATTGGGTTGTTCGGTGGCACTTTATCAAAGTTGTTAATTTCATTTCCCCAAAGTGACGCCATCCCCCGGGTCAGGGGGTTACAGGCTATCGTTTCCATAACAATAGGGCATTGAGTACGTGTTTATTGTGTAAAGAACAGGGATACAGAATTGTAGAGATGATAATAGATGTAAGCTAATCACGTAAACGTGTTGTAGAACACGCCCAAACATTGTGTGTCGCTAATTTCACAGTTGTCATACATCACACATACCGACCTGCTTTGTACAAGTCTGTGTACATGCATAATTAGTTCCACATCAACACAATAGAACACAATAGGTTAAACCTCAGATGATCGTTTACGGCCCACGGACCTGTTGCTGTTGTATACAATTTCAATTTTCAATTTAAAAAAACGCCCTTAAAAGTTACAGATCTATTAAGCGTTACATTGATGGAACCATTAAGTTCTGACTGGGTAATTTTAAGTTTGAAACATTGTAAGTGTGATCCCATCCATTACTTACGTCTTCCTCTATATATATCCCCACCCTCTGTTTATTTGGATCTAAATGACCATCTGCTCGAAGTTGGTTATATTTTTACTTATATACTATCTCCCAATTCTGCATGGAACGATTTTCATCTATTTTTTCTATTTCAGAATTCTTTATGTTTTTTTTTCTATGTTTCAGAATTCAATACCACCAGTATATATGGAGTATCGATGGCAGCATGGCTATATGAACATTGACCACTTTGTAAAAATATCCACTTTTATTGGCGAACACAAGATTACAAAGCATGACATCCAATGGCGTTCCTGTCCTAGTATCGATGTTTATTGTCACGTGTGTGACATCGCAGGTATTTGATTGGCTAAAACATGACAAGTTTGATGACTTGGACGACAAGATGGTAGCAGTTCACCATGACAACTGTAGAGCCAAAGCGAAATCCGACATGTTGTTTCCTACCGATACAGTTTCTCAAATACCGAAATTCAATAACCTAAAACATCGTATATTCTACAAAAACCGAACAAGCTTAGTCCATCTACACAATATGGCATTAAACAGGGCATTCTTCTTCAGTTACATTCTACAAAAGATGAACACGTCTGATTTCTTCTCCATTCAACCCAACATTCATTATCTCTACATGTCTGTTACCGCTGACATCAACGCAAACCCTTCCGGTATAAACGGAAGTGGTGTATACTTTGATTACGACTGCTACTATCCTAACTGGTTCACGGAACTCGACTTCAACGTGACGATCCCATTGTTTGCTCCCCGAGCTTGGCGCTGGGATGATACGATGGACTCAGATAACTACCTCCGAGAACCGACACGGAAAGTGGCATTCGTTGACGACATTGGCGCTGGAAACGGAAACAATTACACGAGCGACTCCTTTAAGATGAACCCATGGTATAATATGTGGCTTCCGGATAACGATCCTTTTTTGGATTCCGCAAATAAATTCACTTACGGAACTGGAATAAAGTATTCAAATATGACAGGGAAATTTACACACAATGAATATGAGCTTTTTAATTTCTTTGGTCCAAACTCGCCTGGACAAGATATGAAGGACGATACTTTACTTCCGGTTCGGTTCACGCGCCCATACTTCGACTGTAACAGGTCTAACAAATGGGTCGTGAGTGCCGTGTCTCCTGTGGTAGATTACATGCCTAGATATCTCAACTGGACGCACATGCGAAGACCACGGTAGGTACTAACAAAGCTTTGTTTTTGGATTCCCATTTTAAAAAACTATTGAAATAATTGAAAGCGATATTTTCTGTTTTATTTGAATGAAAAGTTCATCATTGATGATTTTATAAGTGTTGCGTACTGTCGAGATAAAAACTTTATACTATGGCATAGAAAGATAGTCGCTCCACGTTAAGCACTAGCTTAACGTCTGTTACATATCACTAGTTAGAGAGCTTTGGTTTTCTGACTGGCTTAACGTTTGTTACATATCACTAGTTAGAGAGCTTTGGTTTTCTGACAGTCTGTACTCATTGGAATATAAAGAAGTTAAAAGCCATAAGTTGCATCATGTATAAATGTCAGTTTCTTACTATACATATTAATACAAGTGCATATGTTATAAATCAAATATAGTATTGGTTCTCACAATTACAGGTTTGTAGGAGTAATAGTGATGGACATTGATTTCAAGGAGGTCGATTTCAATCCGTGCACAGTTGGTGTCGGTAACCCGGGGCCCAGCCACCTGGCAGGGATAGCCAAGTGTAGAGACACCACTAGGGTTAGTACTATTTGTCCAAGAACTACACCAGGGCCCGTATTCATAAAACTGTTCTCATGCTCAAGCATGGATTCTGTGCTCAAACCAATCTTCTTGTAACTTGCTTAAACCAGGTAAAAACGATCAAAAGGTCAAATGTAAACATTGAAAGTATTCGGCTTTAAGTTTCCTCAACGTTTAAAAAATAAAAAATCATAACGGGAACAAGAAATTCGGCTTGAGCACAAAATCAATACTTGAGCATTGTTGAGATTAGTACATGTTTTTAATCTTTCGCTATAAAAAGTTGCGCCAAAATGTGTTGAATGAGGACTACATATCGGTGATTAACTTATGTATAATAAATCACAATAATTATACTTAATTTTACTGTAACTTCAATAACAAATGTCTTCATGATAAATCGAACAATTTCGGTTGATCAGTCTGTTTCCGCTAAGGGAGCCAACTCTAATAGCTCTAATGATAAACAATGAATAACAAATGTTCAAATCTAACTACTGTTTATCAGTGTAAATATCTATGTAGCATTCGGACATTTTTATAGTATGGAAAGTTCAAATCATAACACATATTACGGTCCAATGTTCCTTGTTATAATCAATCAACCCTAGTTTGAAGGGTACTTGGGTTGTTGACGGTAATGTGGCCATGTACCCTGTCAGACCTAATGATATGTAGGAAAACACCACTATCAGTGGCCGTGTTATATCCTCTTGTCGTTTGTTCTACAGTGTAAACACCGATCAGGACTAGGATTCCGGCGGGATAGCTACACGTGTTCCTGTAGGTCGGGGTACTACCTGCCCCCGTCCTTCCGAAGGAACTACAAGGGACATAGCATAGAACAGGCGACGTACGACGAGTATATGTCCAGCTTCACGTGTCTTCCAACCAAATGTAAGTTAAAGTAGACTCTGTCGTTGAAGTCTGAATCGTTAATTTTAGTGATTTATCATCGTTACATGTAATACAGTTATTATTGGATCCTAAACTTCTTTCTGAGCACACAGTATGCAACACATACAGCGGTGTAGGTCTGACATAGAAGGCTCCTATTACAATACTGTACTTGTACCTCTACTGTGAGACCATCGAGATTGAATTATGTATATTTGCATTGTCACAATAGCAGGACAATTGCATAAATATCATCTACTTTGCATATATTTGCATTCTAAAACTCAATAATCGGTTATTTATCTAAAAGGTTGTTGGAAACTGACGTTGTGTGTCAAAGATAAGACGGAACAGCAGTGAACAGTGAACTCACATTGACAACTACTTAAAAATAACGTGGAACGTGGACGTGTGACAATGAATTCATTATAATAAGGTTGTAAATTTCAGTTGTAAGATTTTTTTGAAGATGAAACATTTAAAATATTATGATATATCGTGGAATAAGTGTTTCTTTAATATAATTTCATAAATGAGTGCTGCTTTGAAGAAGACAAAACAAACATTGGAGTCAAAGTTGAGGAAAACCAGTCATTGACATGCGATCGTTTCACTCGCATTTGTCTTCGGTTTCGGAATTCACAAATAAGTCTTATGAATATGAGTTTGTAATTTATTAGTCAAACAGATTTCGGTCAATAAGAAAAGCTGAACAGTCTCAAGTAGAGCATCACAATGTGGCTGGGCTTTTCTAGTACACTGTGTCCGCGTGCTTCATTCTGTCTCCCCAATCAGGTTAGGGGGTAAAATGGTAGTGATTGTTAGTCCGTTATGAAAACCGCAACTCTCATGATGTCTTGTTTTCTTAACAAAAAGCGCATGTGAAAGACAGGCTATTACATCAAGAAAGATCCACTTCTATTCTTGCCGCTTTGTTCAAGATCCATTTCCCCATCTATACAGTTTTCTTCATACGGTACAATTGTAGATACATTCTCAAATTCTCATATTTCATAATTCATAGTTCTCTATGAATATTTTTGTTTTATTTTGTGTTCTTTATTTTCCAGATCTACACGTGTTACCTATTGTAGAACAGACTCGACGACCTGTATCTAAAGACACTGCAAATAGCAGTTCATCACAGGGCTATTCGAACGGAAAGATGGTGAGGAGGCGTAAACGATCTGCTGTCCATTTACAATTCAAACAATCATCATATGATAAGATGATACGAATATTCCGACATATAAAGATGGTCACCTCTGCCAACTGTAAGACTCTATCGGATAATGCTCTCCATCTTTCTGGAGATGTAGCGTATGGCGTAGATACCCAGTTTGAATTACAGGGCCGAACCGCCTTGCGTTTGGCACATTTTCTCAGTAACTTTCACCAGAACACGGGTCCACATGAACAATTTGGATGGATAAGAGGTGGTGGGCGATTACACCAGGAACATCTCTTTGGAGAAGTGTTCGCAAACGTGATGGCTGATCATAAAATTCTTGCATCTGCGGTTTATTATGATCCCTATATGTTTGAAAATACGGATGGCTCAAAGAAGAAATTTTTCGGGCCACTTGCTTTCCAAAAGAAAGGTGTGACTTACGCCATCGACTCTGCTGGTTTACAAAGACTGTATGTAGACGAGCAATGGTACAGACGCGCCCGGGAACGCTGGAGTACAAACACGGGGTCGCTTAAAACCTACAAAATGAGACCAATGGTGAGGAGGGACAGAAAGGGAAGTAGTTCAGTTAAGTTTGAATACTTTCCTATTATGTATCGAGCGTCAGACTACGCGGACGGAAACTGGATCGGACCAACGTTTAAATGTGACGGGAACATTGATGCTTGGGTTATCACATATGTTACGCCTTTCTTTAAAATTGAACACTCGACCAAAAAACTCCAGTTTGCGTAAGTATCGTCACATTAAAAGTTATGTAGATTTTGACGTATGAACCGTAGTCTTATAAAACTTATTTGGAATGTATTTGTCCCGCATGTAAGAAGGGAATATGTGACTTTGCAAAAACAAAATTGTAATGGCCAGTTAAAAACTGAGAGCAGAATCCACTTCAATGTGTTGTTAGCAGGTGATACTCGGCCATCTACAGGTATCGCTCTTCTTGTATTTATTTTTACTGGATTTGATCAAAATAAAAAAAAAATCATGCCAGCCTCATCAATAAAAGGACGATTTCATTATTTGCAGTCAGTGTGGCCACTTGAATATTTACGTATTGATGAGAAACAACAGCGCCGATTTTAACACGGAGTGAATAAAATTTAATGTATTTGAAAATAGGGATTCTTTTGTAGACACATTGTTCTTTGCAATGAAATGAGTGAAACTATAGTTCTAAGAAGTAACAAAAAGAAATACTGAATGACGTCTTATCCACTACAAAAAATAGAAATAAAAATGTAAATACGAATGAACGCTCTGGCAAATGAAATGTGTTCTGGATCTGTTCAGATATGATATGATTTATAGCGGTGTTTTTCAGTGGAGTGGTGACTGTGATTTATAGCGTTGTTTTTCCAGTGGAGTGGTGACTGTGATTTATAGCGCCGTTTTTCAGTGGAGTGGTGACTGTGATTTATAGCGCTGTTTTTCAGCGGAGTGGTGACTGTGATTTATACCGCTGTTTTTCAGTGGAGTGGTGACTGTGATTTATACCGTTGTTTTTCCAGTGGAGTGGTGACTGTGATTTATAGCTCCGTTTTTCAGTGGAGTGGTGACTGTGATTTATACCGCTGTTTTAAAGCGCTGTTTTTCAGTGGAGTGGTGACTGTGATTTATAGCGCCGTTTTTCAGTGGAGTGGTGACTGTGATTTATAGCGCTGTTTTTCTGTGGAGTGGTGACTGTGATTTATACCGCTGTTTTAAAGCGCTGTTTTTCAGTGGAGTGGGGACTGTGATTTGTAGCGCTGTTTTTCAGTGGAGCGGTGACTGTTGATTTATAGCGCTGTTTTTCAGTGGAGTGGTGACTCAGTGGAGTGGTGACTGTGATTTATACCGCTGTTTTTCAGTGGAGTGGGGACTGTGATTTATAGCGCTGTTTTTCAGTGGAGGGGTGACTGTTGATGTATACCGCTGTTTTTCAGTGGAGTGGGGACTGTGATTTATAGCGCTGTTTTTCAGTGGAGTGGTGACTGATTTATAGCGCTGTGTTTCAGTGGAGTGGTGACTGTGATTTATACCGCTGTTTTTCAGTGGAGTGGTGACTGATTTATACCGCTGTTTTTCAGTGGAGTGGGGACTGTGATTTATAGCGCTGTGTATCAGTGGAGTGGTGACTGTTGATATATACCGCTGTTTTTCAGTGGAGTCGTGACTGTGATTTATACCGCTGTTTTAAAGCGCTGTTTTTCAGTGGAGTGGGGACTGTGATTTGTAGCGCTGTTTTTCAGTGGAGCGTTGACTGTTGATTTACAGCGCTGTTTTTCAGTGGAGTGGTGACTGTGATTTATAGTGCTGTTTTTCTGTGGAGTGGTGACTGTTTATTTATAGCACTGTTTTTCAGTGGAGTGGAGTGGTGACTGTTGGTTTATAGCGTTGTTTTTCAGTGGGGTGGTGACTGATTTATAGCACTGTGTTTCAGTGGAGTGGTGACTTTTGATGTATACCGCTGTTTTTCAGTTGAGTGGTGACTGATTTATACCGCTGTGTTTTAGTGGAGTGGTGACTGTGATTTTTAGCGCTGTTTTTCAGTGGCGTGGTGACTGATTTATAGCGCTGCTTTTCAGTTGAGTGGTGACTGATTTATACCGCTGTGTTTTAGTGGAGTGGTGACTGTGATTTGTAGCGCTGTTTTTCAGTGGTGGAGTGGGGACTTCAGTGGAGTGGTGACTGTGCTTTATGGCGCTGTTTTTCAGTGGAGGGGTGTCTGTTGATTTATCGCGCTGTTTTTTCAATGGAGTGGTGACTGTGTTTTATAGCGCTGTTTTTCAATGGAGTGGTGACTGTGATTTATACCGCTGTTTTAAAGCGCTGTTTTTCAGTGGAGGGGTGTCTGTTGATTTATCGCGCTGTTTTTTCAATGGAGTGGTGACTGTGATTTGTAGCGCTGTTTTTCAGTGGAGTGGTGACTGTGATTTATGGCGCTGTTTTTCTGTGGAGTGGTGACTGTTGATTTATAGCACTGTTTTTCAGTGGAGTGGTGACTGTTGATTTATAGCGTTGTCTTTCAGTGGAGTGGTGACTGATTTATAGCGCTGCTTTTCAGTGGAGTGGTGACTGTGATTTATGGCGCTGTTTTTCAGTGGAGTGGTGTCTGTTGATTTATAGCGCTGTTTTTTCAATGGAGTGGTGACTGTGATTTATAGCGCTGTTTTTCAGTGGAGTGGTGTCTGTTAATTTATACCGCTGTTTTTCAGTGGAGTGGGGACTTTGATTTATAGCGCTGTTTTTCAGTGGAGTGGTGACTGTTGATTTATACCGCTGTTTTTCAGTGGAGTGGTGACTGTGATTTATAGCACTGTTTTTCAGTGGAGTTGTGACTGTGATTTAAAGCGCTGTTTTTCAGTGGAGTGGTGACTGTGATTTATAGCGCTGTGTATCAGTGGAGTGGTGACTGTTGATTTATACCGCTGTTTTTCAGTGGAGTGGTGACTGTGATTTATAGCGCTGTTTTTCAGTGGAGTGGTGACTGTGATTTATAGCGCTGTTTTTCAGTGGAGTGTTGACTGTTGATTTATAGCGTTGTTTTTCAGTGTAGTGGTGACTGTGATTTATAGCGCTGATTTGCAGTGGAGTGGTGACTGTTGATTTATAGCGCTGTTTTTCAGTGGAGTGGTGACTATGATTTATAGCGCTGTTTTTCAGTGGTGTGGGGACTGTGATTTATAGCGCTGTTTTTCAGTGGAGTGGTGACTATGATTTATAGCGCTGTTCTTCAGTGGTGTGGGGACTGTGATTTATAGCGCTGTGTTTCAGTGGAGTGGTGACTGTGATTTATAGCACTGTTTTTCAGTGGAGTGGTGACTGTGATTTATGGCGCTGTGTTGCAGTGGAGTGGTGCCTGTGATTTATAGCACTGTTTTTCAGTGGAGTGGTGACTGTGATTTATAGCGCTGTTGTTCAGTGGAGTGGTGACTGTTGATTTATAGCGCTGTTTTTCAGTGGAGTGGTGACTGTGATTCATAGCGCTGTTTTTCAGTGGTGGAGTGGGGACTGTTGATTTATACCGCTGTTTTTCAGTGGAGTGGTGACTGTGATTTATGGCGCTGTGTTGCAGTGGAGTGGTGACTGTGATTTATAGCACTGTTTTTCAGTGGAGTGGTGACTGTGATTTAAAGCGCTGTTTTTCAGTGGAGTGTCGACTGTGATTTATAGCGCTGTGTATCAGTGGAGTGGTGGCTGTTGATTTATACCGCTGTTTTTCAGTGGAGTCGTGACTGTGATTTATAGCGCTGTTTTTCAGTGGAGTGGTGACTGTGATTTATGGCGCTGTTTTTCAGTGGAGTGGTGACTGTGATTTATACCGCTGTTTTTCAGTGGAGTGTTGACTGTTGATTTATAGCGTTGTTTTTCAGTGGAGTGGTGACTGTGATTTATGGCACTGTTTTTCAGTGGAGTGGTGACTGTGATTTATACCGCTGTTATTCAGTGGAGTGTTGACTGTTGATTTATAGCGTTGTTTTTCAGTTGAGTGGTGACTGTGATTTATAGCGCTGTTTTGCCGTGGAGTGGTGACTGTTGATTTATAGCGCTGTGTTTCAGAGGAGGGGTGACTGTGATTTATAGCGTTGTTTTTCAGTGGAGAGGTGACTGTGATTTATAGCACTGTTTTTCCGTGGAGTGGTGACTGTGATTTAAAGCGCTGTTTTTCAGTGGAGTGTCGACTGTTGGAGTGGTGACTGTTGATGTATACCGCTGTTTTTCAGTGGAGTGGTGACTGGGATTTAAAGCGCTGTTTTTCAGTGGAGTGTCGACTGTTGGAGTGGTGACTGTTGATGTATACCGCTGTTTTTCAGTGGAGTGGTGACTGTGATTTATGGCACTGTTTTTCAGTGGAGTGGTGACTGTTGATTTATAGCGCTGTTTTTCTGTGGAGTGGTGACTGTTGATTTATAGCGCTGTGTTTCAGAGGAGTGGTGACTGTGATTTATAGCGTTGTTTTTCAGTGTAGTGGTGACTGTGATTTATAGCGCTGTTTTGCAGTGGAGTGGTGACTGTTGATTTATAGCGCTGTTTTTCAGTGGAGTTGTGGCTGTGATTTACAGCGCTCTTTTTCAGTGGAGTGGTTACTGTTGATTTATAGCGCTGTTTTTCAGTGGAGTGGTGACTGTGATTTATAGCTCTGTTTTTCAGTGGAGTGGTGACTGTGATTTATAGCGCTGTTTTTCTGTGGAGTGGTGACTGTGATTTATAGCGTTGTTTTTCAGTGGAGTGGTGACTGTGATTTATGGCGCTGTTTTTCAGTGGAGTGGTGGCTGTGATTTATAGCGATGTTTTTTAGTGGAGTGGGGACTGTGATTTATAGCGCTGTTTTTCAGTGGAGTGGTGACTGTGATTTATAGCGCTGTTTTTCAGTGGAGTGGTGACTGTTGATGTCCCGTTGACCCTCCTGGATATCAACCAATGTCCACAGCCCTTCTACGTGGCCAACGCTTTCAAGAATACAGCAAGATGTCAAACCCGGTCTACAAAGGTATCATAACACACTTAAACGGACGTATTGTCTACCCTTACTGTTTGGTCCAAGTAACAAATACATATACCTGTTAATATAGAATTGCGCGTCACATTAGGGATTATGCTGATCTTTGGGATTATGCTGATTTTAGGGATTATACTGATATTAGGGATTATGCTAATAGAAGGGATTATGCTGATATTAGGGATTATGCTGATATAAGAGATTATGCTGATATTAGGGATTATGCTGATATTTGGGATTATGCTGATATTAGGGAGTATGCATATATGGTATATGACGCGTAATACAACATTTGGTATTTTTTTCAATGAGAAATATGGCATGGAAACTGGTTGTTTCACTACAGAAATGTTTACAAGGTACATCATACAATACATTAGGCCTATACTATAGGAAGATTTACACGTGGTAAGAAATTCATCTCGTGATTTCATAGGTAAACAGTCATGTGGTGTAAGTATTTTTGACCTCATAGATATCCCCTGTTTCCGTTGAATGGCGATCTTCTAACTACTGTATGTTATGGTCGTATATTTGATTTATTACTTCCTTTACCCTGTGGTTGGACAGGATGTAGATGATATATATTATAGGTCTGTTCTTTTTCGTAATTGATTAAACAAATAAAGGTATGTTTCCGCAGTTAGTTAAATCCTTTTGTGTTCTTTCTGTTGACAGTGTCGCCCTATTGTTGGTTATGGTATGACCAGGGGGTCGTACCGCTGTGACTGTCGGGCTGGGTTTGAGTACCCATTTAAGGACCAAAAGAGATGGTTCGAGGGGCACATGGTGGATCGAGAGTATGAGAAGAAACAACAAGGAATATATAGTCGGTATGTTTGTAAGATATCTTGTCAACACAATGTCCAAGAGTTGGTTCCCTTTTTTCACATGTGATATGAAAGGGTGCCCAACACAAATGTAATATTTGTCGGACAGAACATGTTTATAATCTATGTAATATTTGTCGGACAGAACATGTTTATAATCTATGTAATATTTGTCGGACAGAACATGTTTATAATCTATGTAATATTTGTCGGACAGAACATGTTTATAATCTATGTAATATTTGTCGGACAGAACATGTTTATAATCTATGTAATATTTGTCGGACAGAACATGTTTATAATCTATGTAATATTTGTCGGACAGAACATGTTTATAATCTATGTAATATTTGTCGGACAGAACATGTTTATAATCTATGTAATATTTGTCGGACAGAACATGTTTATAATCTATGTAATATTTGTCGGACAGAACATGTTTATAATCTATGTAATATTTGTCGGACAGAACATGTTTATAATCTATGTAATATTTGTCGGACAGAACATGTTTATAATCTATGTAATATTTGTCGGACAGAACATGTTTATAATCTATGTAATATTTGTCGGACAGAACATGTTTATAATCTATGTAATATTTGTCGGACAGAACATGTTTATAATCTATGTAATATTTGTCGGACAGAACATGTTTATAATCTATGTAATATTTGTCGGACAGAACATGTTTATAATCTATGTAATATTTGTCGGACAGAACATGTTTATAATCTATGTAATATTTGTCGGACAGAACATGTTTATAATCTATGTAATATTTGTCAGATGGAACATGTTTAATCTATGTAATATTTGTCAGACAGAACAGGTTTATAATCTATGTAATATTTGTCGGACAAAGCATGTTTATAATCTATGTAATATTTGTCAGACAGAACATGTTTATAATCTATGTAACATTTATCGGACAGAACATGTTTGTAATCTATGTAATATTTGTCGGACAGAACATGTTTATAATCTACGTAATATTTGTCGGACAGAACATGTTTATAATCTATGTAATATTTGTCGGACAGAACATGTTTATAATCTATGTAATATTTGTCGGACAGAACATGTTTATAATCTATGTAATATTTGTCGGACAGAACATGTTTATAATCTATGTAATATTTGTCGGACAGAACATGTTTATAATCTATGTAATATTTGTCGGACAGAACATGTTTATAATCTATGTAATATTTGTCGGACAGAACATGTTTATAATCTATGTAATATTTGTCGGACAGAACATGTTTATAATCTATGTAATATTTGTCGGACAGAACATGTTTATAATCTATGTAATATTTGTCGGACAGAACATGTTTATAATCTATGTAATATTTGTCGGACAGAACATGTTTATAATCTATGTAATATTTGTCGGACAGAACATGTTTATAATCTATGTAATATTTGTCGGACAGAACATGTTTATAATCTATGTAATATTTGTCAGACAGAACATGTTTATAATCTATGTAATATTTGTCAGACAGAACATGTTTATAATCTATGTAATATTTGTCTGACAGAACATGTTTATAATCTATGTAATATTTGTCTGACAGAACATGTTTATAATCTATGTAATATTTGTCAGACAGAGCATGTTTATAATCTATGTAATATTTGTCGGACAGAACATGTTTATAATCTATGTAATATTTGTCAGACAGTACATGTTTATAATCTATGTAATTTCGTAAAGATAAGCACGCATTGACCTACAAATATTAAACAATCTGACATATTAAATATTGTATAATCTGTCATAATATCACATCGCTTGCTATCTTATAGGACTATTGTGTGATTCGGAAATATTAATACAGCATGTGTAACTTTGTTTATTTCAGGTTTGACACCCTCGCTTGTCGGGTCTCCTGCGGAAGATCTTTGATTCCACATCCACTATCGCTCGTCGTGGCTTTAGTTGTCATCAAACTTTTCTACAACTAGTCTGTACAGGAAAACATTTTCATATTTACAAAGTCTGTAAATGTTTCGTATCGTATATATACTGATGTATAGTTATATATATATAAACTGCAGCTTACCGACCGTTACTTACGTTCATCATGTCCCGGTCAATAGAGCCTTGCTCATTTTTTTTACTGATTTATTTTATTTATGTTTTTTACTGCTTTTGTTTTATTGGAAAAACTCTAAATAAATGTGTTTACCATAGTATGGATAGTGTGTTTTATATTTTATTGTTTGCTTCAAATGTTCTTTTGGTACAGCGTATCAACTAGTAAGTCAACGGGTCGCCTATTTGTTTTGGTAACACACATATTACGTTTTTTTTTTGAAATATTCATTATAAGCAGGTATTCCTAGCGGAAGGGTAGTAGGGGTAGGGGCTAGTATCATCAACATATCATGCTCGGTACAGTTTTTGGTAAGAGTTAAAGGCTATCAAACAAAAATAGTTATGATTTGTTATAGTAAATGGTGCTAAACATCGTTTAAATACGAGAACTAAAGGAACCACAACCTCAGAACAACAGGACATATTAGTATACAGCATGAGTACACGACGACAAACTATACTACAGCGTGAGTACACGACGACAAACTATACTACAGCGTGAGTACACGACGACAAACTATACCACAGCGTAAGTACACGACGACAAACTATACTACAGCGTAAGTACACGACGACAAACTATACCAGAGCGTAAGTACACGACGACAAACTATACTACAGCGTTAGTACACGACGACAAACTATATTACAGCGTCAGTACACGACGACAAACTATACTACAGCGTGAGAACACGACGACAAACTATACCACAGCGTGAGTATACGACGACAAACTATACTATAGCGTGAGTACACGACGACAAACTATACTACAGAGTGAGTACACGACGACAAACTATACCACAGCGTGAGTATACGACGACAAACTATACTACAGCGTAAGTACTCGACGACAAACTATACTACAGCGTGAGTACACGACGACAAACTATACTATAGCGTGAGTACACGACGACAAACTATACTACAGCGGAAGTACACGACGACAAACTTTACTACAGCAACAATGCACAAGGACACTACAGCTTGAGTACACGACGACAAACTATACTACAGCGCAAGTGCACGACGACAAACTATACTACAGCTTGAGTACACGACGACAAACTATACTACAGCGCAAGTGCACGACGACAAACTATACTACAGCTTGAGTACACGACGAAAAACTATACTACAGCGTTAGTACACGACGACAAACTATACTACAGAGAAAGTACACGACGACAAACTATACTACAGCGAAAGTACACGACGACAAACTATACTACAGCGTTAGTACCCGACGACAAACTATACCACAGCGTAAGTACACGACGACAAACCATACTACAGCGTAAGTACACGACGACAAACTATACCACGGCGTAAGTACACGCCGACAAACTATACTACAGCGTAAGTACACGACGACAACCTTTACTACAGCAACAATGCACAAGGACAATATATACCACAGCGACAACACACAAGGACAATATATATCACAGCGACAACACACATGGAGACAAACTATACTACAGCGTAAGTACACGACGACAACCTTTACTACAGCAACAATGCACAAGGACAATATATACCACAGCGACAACACACAAGGACAATATCTTACTACAGCGTAAGTACACGACGACAAACTATACGACAGCGTGAGTACACGACGACAAACTATACTACAGCGTAGGTACACGATGACAAACTATACTACAGCGTGAGTACACGACGACAAACAATACTACAGCGTAAGTACACGACGACAAACTTTACTACAGCGTGAGTACACGACGACAAACTATACAACAGCGTAAGTACACGACGACAAACTATACTGCAGCGTTTGAACACGACGACAAACAATACTACAGCGTTAGTACACGACGACAAACTATACTGCAGCGTTTGTACACGACGACAAACAATACTACAGCGTTAGTACACGACGACAAACTATACTGCAGCGTTTGAACACGACGACAAACAATACTACAGCGTTAGTACACGACGACAAACTATATTACAGCGTCAGTACACGACGACAAACTATACCAGAGCGTAAGTACACGCCGACAAACTATACTACAGCGTAAGTACACGACGACAATCTATACTACAGCGTAAGTACACGACGACAAACTATACCACGGCGTAAGTACACGCCGACAAACTATACTACAGCGTAAGTACACGACGACAAACTATTCTACAGCGTAAGTACACGACGACAAACTTTACTACAGCGTGAGTACACGACGACAAACTATACAACAGCGTAAGTACACGACGACAAACTATACTGCAGCGTTTGTACACGACGACAAACAATAATACAGCGTTAGTACACGACGACAAACTATACTGCAGCGTTTGAACACGACGACAAACAATACTACAGCGTTAGTACACGACGACAAACTATACTGCAGCGTTTGAACACGACGACAAACAATACTACAGCGTTAGTACACGACGACAAACTATACTGCAGCGTTTGTACACGACGACAAACAATACTACAGCGTTAGTACACGACGACAAACTATATTACAGCGTCAGTACACGACGACAAACTATACCAGAGCGTAAGTACACGCCGACAAACTATACTACAGCGTAAGTACACGACGACAAACTATACTACAGCTTGAGTACACGACGACAAACTATACTACAGCGCAAGTACACGACGACAAACTATACTACAGCGTTAGTACCCGACGACAAACTATACCACAGCGTAAGTACACGCCGACAAACTATACCACAGCGTAAGTACACGACGATAAACTATACTACAGCGTAAGTACACGACGACAATCTATACTACAGCGTAAGTACACGACGACAAACTATCCTACAGCGTGAGTACACGACGACAAACTATACCAGAGCGTAAGTACACGACGACAAACTATCCTACAGCGTGAGTACACGACGACAAACTATACAACAGCGTAAGTACACGACGACAAACTATACTGCAGCGTTTGAACACGACGACAAACAATACTACAGCGTTAGTACACGACGACAAACTATACTACAGCGTAAGTACACGACGACAAACTTTACTACAGCAACAATGCACAAGGACAATATATACCACAGCGACAACACACAAGGACAATATCTACCACAGCGACAACACACGACGACAAACCATACTACAGCGACAACACACAAGGACAATATATATCACAGCGACAACACACATGGACAATATCTACCACAGCGACAACACACAAGGACAATATCTATCACAGTAACAACACACATGGAAAATATCTACCACAGCGACAACACACAAGGACAATATATACCATAGCGACAACACACAATGACAATATCTACCACAGCGACAACACACATGGACAATATCAACATCATCGACAACACACAAGGACAATATCTACCACAGTAACAACACACAAGGAAAATATCTACCACAGCGACAACACACAAGGACAATATATACCATAGCGACAACACACAATGACAATATCTACCACAGCGACAACACACATGGACAATATCTACCACAGCGACAACACATAAGGACAATATCTACCACAGTAACAACACACAAGGACAATATCTACCACAGCGACAACACTCGACGACAAACAATACCACAGCGACAACACACAAGGACAATATCTATCACAGTTACAACACATAAGGACAATATCTATCACAGTGACAACACACGATGACAATATTTACCACAGCGACAACACACAAGGACAATGTCTACCACAGCGACAACTCACAAGGACAATGTCTACCTCAGCGACAACACACAAGGACACTATCTTCCACAGTGACAACACACAAGGACAATGTCTACCACAGCGACAACTCACAAGGACAATATCCACCACAGCGACAACACACAAGGACAATATCTTCCACAGCGACAACACACAAGGACAATGTCAACCACAACGACAACACACAAGGACAATATACTACAGCGACAGCACACAAGTACAAAATATACTACAGCAACAACACACAAGGACAATCTTTACCACATCGACAACACACAAAGACAATTTCAACCACAGCGACAACACAAGGACAATATATGCCCCAGCTTAAGTACACCAGAGCAATTTAAACACAGAGTTATTACAAGGGGACGAAATATACCACAGCAAAAACACCAAAGGACACTATAAACCACAGCGGTAATACGAAAGGACAAAATAGCCAGCACACTAGGACAGTTTATATCACAGCGTATTCACATAGAGATACGTTATACAATGGAGTCAATATACAAGATAGAAATACAGCTAATTGCCATTGCACAATTGTGACTCATTCAACCAGTCTTAGAACGCAAGAAGGAAAGCTAATATAATGCCGCAATTACTATGATGGTAACTACACAGATTACTTGAATAAACTATATTTGGTCAATATATGATACACTTATAATAATTAAATATTATTCATGGTACCACACAGTTGTCGAGAAGCAACTTCAACTTTCCACCGGAATTACAATGATTAATGATGTCCAGAATCAAAATATGTTTTAAACATTTTTTTCTTTTCTCTCTCCCCCCCCCCCCCCCCCCCCCTTCTAATTTGTGTATAAATACCACATTACAGTGTCCATAGAGATAAATATTTACAATTGCATGGCATTGTCATTATATAGCCTCTTTGAAAGTTGTGTCGTTGATGGGACTTAAATTACCATGCCGCACGAGACACAATTCTTAGCGTATTAATTACAACACTGACCGGAACTACAATATCCAATGTAAATAAACATGATGGCTGCTGAAATATCGCTGGGCATTGTGAGACCTGACAATGTCATTGTAAATTTATGTGCAAAAATGAAAAAAGAAATGAAAATACTTTTATTACAACAAAAACAGGACCAATGTCTGTCTGAAATATCGTACAAAATGCACATCGATTGAAATCACCAATGACGGTAATGGAAACAATTTTAACACTCATGCAATTTATAAGAAACAACGTCTGTTACACTGCACTGATTAACAGGGGTTCGTTACAAATGTAGGGAAATACACATAATATATAGACCTACTGACACCTAAGTTACAGCCGGCCTCTGCTCCGTCGCAAGATCACTCACTTCAAACGATATCAGTTTCACGCGTCTCGCAGCCACCGTTTTCTTGAGGTTCTGACGACATGTCAAATAACGAGGGTGTTATAGAATTTACCGACTGTAGTCAGATTCCCATACAATCAACAAATAGATTCACGTCTGGATTCTTCTGTAATCGAAACAATTTCAAATATAACTTTCAGCTCAGATTTCTATTGATAAACTTAAATCACCCTATAGACATATCGAACGCAATTGTATTGATACTGAATTGTGAAATAAAATTGAAGTGTTTGTTAAAATGTCAAAGTACTACTCTGTTTGCCAATCAGCACGCGACAATACGCTGTTCAAACTATTGAACGAAATTGTCGTGACTGTCGATAAGGCGGGGATTTTTAATTTTGATTATAAATTATAAGTTAAAAAAGAACATAAGAGGCAGAGAAAACGTAAATATAAGTATTGAACTGTTTTTGTATGATATTAATGATCTATTTGAATGACATCACTAGCGCGCATTATGCTGTGTCCTTCAAATAGATCATAAATACCATACAAAAACAGTTCAATGATTAAATAATATACACAGATGATACCTTACACAGCCTACTCATACACACCTACTAGTACAAATAAACAGAATAAACCTAGATGACAGTCTACTTAATCATGCATTACATATATACACAGGAATATAGGAATATAGAAAATGAAATGACACTTAATCCACGTATACTTCTACACATATAACAGCAAAAGCGGTGAACATACACACATGACATGACTGATACTCCCCCCGACACACACACCTACATACATACCCCCAACACACATACATACATACATACCCCCACACCTACATACATACCCCCCACAACACACATACATACATACATACCACCCACACACCTACATACATACCCCTACACACCTAAATACATACCCCCACACCTACATACATACCCCCTACACACCTACATACATACCCCCACACATACATACCCCCACACACACATACATAAATACATACCCCCCACACACCTACATACATACCCCCAACACACATACATAAATAAATACCCCCCACACACACCTACATACATACCCCCAACACACATACATACATACATGCCCCCACACCTACATACATACCCCTCAACACACATACATACATACCCCCACACACCTACATACATATCCCCCACCAACACCCCTATATACATACCCCCACACATACATACCCCCCCCACACACCTACATACATACCCCCCTACACCTACATACATACCCCCCACACATACACCTACATACATACACCCCCCAACACACACACACCTACATACATACACCCCCAACACACACACCTACATACATACACCCCCCCAACACAAACTCCTAAATACATACCCCCCCAACACACATACATAAATAAATACCCCCCACACACACCTACATACATCCCCCCACACATACACCCCCCCCCCCACACACCTACATACATCCCCCCCGACACACACCTACATACATACCCTCCCCCACACACCTACATACATATCCCCCACTAACACACCTACATACATACACACCCCAACACACACACCTACATACATCCCCCCCGACACACACCTACATACATACCCTCCCCCACACACCTACATACATCCCCCCCCACACCTACATACATCCCCCCCGACACACACCTACATACATACATACACCTACATACATACACCCCCAACACCCACACCTACATACATACATCCCCCACACACACCTACATACATACACCCCCCCAACACAAACTCCTAAATACATACCCCCCCAACACACACACCTACATACGTACACCCCCCTCAACACAAACTCCTACATACATCCCCCCCCCCACACTCACCTACATACATACCCCCACACACCTACATACATCCCCCCACACATACATACCCCCCCCCCCAACACAAACTCCTACATACATACACCCCCAACACACACACCTACATACATCCCCCCACACATACACCCCCCCCCCCACACACCTACATACATTCCCCCCCTACACCTACATACATACATACACCTACATACATACACCCCCAACACCCACACCTACATACACACCCCCCTACACCTACATACATACATACACCTACATACATACACCCCCAACACCCACACCTACATACACACCCCCCTACACCTACATACATACATACACCTACATACATACACCCCCCAACACACACACACCCACAAACAAACAACCCCAACACCCACACCTACATACACACCCCCCTACACCTACATACATACCCCTTAACCCACATACATACATACCCCCACACATACATACCCCCACACCTACATACATACATACACCTACATACATACCCCCACACATACATCCCCCCCCCCAACACCCCTATACACATGCCCCCACACATACACGCCCCCCCCACACACCTACATACATTCCCCCCCTACACCTACATACATACATACACCTACATACATACCCCTACACACCTAAATACATACCCCCACACCTACATACATCCCCCCCTACACCTACATACATACCCCTTAACCCACATACATACATACCCCCCCACACACCTACATACATATCCCCCACTAACACACCTACATACATACATCCCCCCCACACACACACCTACATACATACCCCCCCACACACACACCTACATACATACCCCCCACACACACACCTACATTAGGTTAAGAAAGTGGTTGTTAACTCATTTATACTTGCATGATACTAAAGATAGTCAAATATGGACTTTAGTGTGCTTTACTCGTAAATTGTCAACAAATGATAACACAACAATGGTTTGATGATGTTAGCAGTCATCTGTCATCAAACAGTCAGGACAAGACAATAGGAAATAAGACAATATCCAATACAATACAATTGGGTTTTTAATAAATAATATCGGCATTTAAACTTCTCTTATGTTTTCCTTTTTAGCACCCGAATATCATTTTGAGGTTTATTTGATGGTAGGAATTAGCTGTCTTTACGTAACTTTTGTATTCGCATTTATAGTCACGCCCCCTCCCCTCCCAAACACACACACGTTTTTGTCCTTCCAACTTAAAATGCTTTTATGACTTTTTTAATTGCTCTCTAGTTGATCCTGAAGGTCTATTTCATAAAGATCCAGGAAAGGATACTTACTGTAATATGTTAAAGATGTCATAAAGATCCAGGAAAGGATACTTACTGTAATATGGTATAGATGTCATAAAGACCCAGGAAAGGATACTTACTGTAATATGTTATAGATGTCATAAAGATCCAGGAAAGGCTACTTACTGTAATATGGTATAGATGTCATAAAGACCCAGGAAAGGATACTTACTGTAATATGTTATAGATGTCATAAAGACCCAGGAAAGGATACTTACTGTAATATGTTATAGATGTCAAAAAGATCCACGAAAGGATACTTACTGTCATATGTTATAGATGTACTAGTCCCCTGATATAAGGAGGTTATTTTTTTCTATTTACTGTAATGACATTTACTATTGATTTCAACATTATGTAAACTTCTGTTTTCTTTCGGCATACTATACATATAATTTATTACTTTCATGGAACAGGAATAAAATAACACAAGATTTCTTTCATTCAAATTTCCCTATTGATCCTTATTAAGTAATTAATTACTTTTTGCGAGCATTGTCATTTACATTGGTTTTGTTCTATCATTCTAAAAATCTTTCTAGAATTTGTATCGCATTTTTTGAAGTCTTCTTTCCTTTTTTTTATTCCACAGTTTAGCAATGTTTTAAGTATCATTTCTTCCTGCTTTAAATCGCATTCCTTGTGTTTTTCAACAATAGCTGCTTTATTTATTTACTTGCTTTTGTACGACAATGAAACATATTTATAAACTGCCTCACTCGTGTCTTTATCGTAAGTTCGAGAAGGTAGCCATTTTGAAGCAAGCTGGTCTTGAATGTTCTCCAGCATACAAAGCAGCAGTGATGTTGAAGACAATCACTTGTACATGTAGTAGTCATACACTTTTAATGCAACTGATATAAAAGATAAATTGCTAATGCGATAAAATTAAAAAGCACGAAAACGCTTTTAGGGGTCCACTGATAACGTCATTACCAAGAACTATTATCATATCCCCAGACTAATAACCTCTAGTTCTATGTCAGATAACATGACATCATGCATGCCTGAACGGCACTTATTTTTGGACGCACACATGATATTAACGCTGAAGATGTACAACAATGATAAGCCATTCAAATATACGAAACCATTTGCAGTAGTTTCTGTAGAATATTTATTTTGGCTATATAGGACAGGGAAGTAGCCGTTCTCCGTCCTTAGTGCTTTTTGTGTGTAATGAAATATCTGTGTAAGCAGGAAGTTGTCACGTACTGTTTAACAATAACCTAACATTCCTAGCATCAAGTATTTAGTAGAAAACATCATCACACCCACCGTACAACTAGGCCGACAACCCGTTGATCCACAAGGTTTTGGCTTCAGACAGTGCAGGTAGGCGGATCATCGTTCTCGTATACACATATGCCTCACGTATAAAGATGTAGGAAGAACATCAGCACCGATTCGTTCAGTACACTAATTTGATTTGTTAACTAAACACGTTAATTTGTTTTCGATTATCTTCAAAATGAACGATATTCAAGGAACTACATCTAAATTACCTGTTGGAAGGAAGGAAGTGATTTGACAACACAGGAAAATATACTCAAAGCTTTGCAGTACCTGTAGTAATAGATAGACTTACGATACTGGCTACATAACAGAAATCAAACTTTTTTAACCTCAGATGCGTATATTGTAAACGCCTTTTTTTCGTAGTTTCTAACTTTTTGTGGATTTGCGTTATTGGTTGATTTCGGGGGATACATTTTTTTTCTCACAGATTGCAGGTCTAGTGGCCATGAAAATAATTGTAACGGTTAGAAAGAATCTATTTCGAAGGTTGCATTTGTTTCAGTGAATAACGTTAAAAGCAAAAATCGTAAAATTTAGATCCCTGCGAAAAAAGGTCCTCTACAGTATCACTACTTCACTGGCTCAAATGTGTCCATACACGTCGTTATACGTAGACAACTGCTCTGAGTGACGTGCTCCCATGGTACACTCTGTAACTACGGTAGCCGCTGTTGCTAGGGTATTATTTTTAATCTGAACAGCAATTCGAACAGTTGTATTCATTTATAACGGTCATTATGTAAGCTTCCTGACACACTCTTATGGTAGCGACTCGGTCGAATGTTTCAGAACGAAGCTGCCCTTACTAAATTTACCGTCTAAGAAATGTATATGTCCATTCTTGGAATAAGAGATTTGTCAGCATCCCTCTGTTGATTAATAAGACATTATGGTCCCGAATATGTTCCACGCTTCCAGATGTTAAAGGAACCAAGCAATGGCTATCATCTGACAAGCTGAGGACGAGAGCAATGTAAATATTGTGTTATATAGACTCAAAGTGTGTGTCACATCTACTGTTATCACGTTGATGTGTTCTAATGAATACCCTGTTTATTAATAGCACTAACAGCTTTACACGTGTCTTATACTTTCAGGTAACACATGTCATTTCCTGCTCCGGTATACACACCGATGCTAGCCACATGATGTACCCCTCTGCTGTTCTACGCTATTGTCTCCTGGTCGTTGTCTGTCTGTCCACCCCGATGCTAGCCTGTCCTCCGTGCGAATGTACCAACACTGTGGCGGATTGTTCTGGATTGGGGCTTAGACGTATACCAAAACTTCCGGCGACGATCAGTGTACTGAACTTCTCCAGCAATCACCTCGGTAATCTATCGCTGGACACATTTGGCAACCTCACAGGCATCAAGATACTGAACATAAGTGATAATTATATAAACAATGTTGCAAAAAATACGTTTAGTGCATTAAATCGTGACATTATAGAGTTAGACATAAGTAATAATAAGTTCTGGCGCCCGATCGATGTATATAGAGCGCTCGCCTCGACAAATCTGCATCAACTCAGCTTATCCAATACCTCGCTTCACTTTTCTAACGTCAGTGCTTTAGAACCCCTGTCTAAAGTACCACTGCGCAGACTATATCTTGTAGGAAATTTGCTGAAGATATTGAAAGGCAATCTAACGAAAAGTCTTCCAAAGTTACAGACGCTAGATCTAACAAAAAATCTGATAACAGCCATATCGTTTGCTGACGTACACGAAGAGCTAACAGATTTGGATATCGACGGGAACATACTAAAGGAATTCCCATCTTTTTGTTTAAAGAACAATATATCTACGTCCTCACTACCCCAACTACGAACACTGTCACTTTCTACGAACCTTATCACAACGTTACAGGGCCTCAATAAATCAACCACATGTCTACAAAACCTGGAAACGTTGATGTTGGATAATAACCATTTTTTTGAATTGGGTGAAAACACATTTGCTGGTTTACCTAAACTACAGAATCTCTCATTAGATTTAGTAACCACATCTAGGTTGACTATACACCAAGCTGCATTTAATTCTACGTCACTTCGAAGCCTTACATTTGGTAGCTTTCAGCGAGAAATAGTAGTTGACGACTCATTACTTAAACTGTTCGGTTTCTGTCCAAATTTAACATACCTAAAACTGTCGGGTGTCTCCTTTTCTAAATGGACACAAGGTATCATGCGGACATTATTCTCTCCCTTAACGAAATTGAAATTTCTGTCGGTCGTTCGGACAGATATCACGAGGATTCCAACGCAGTTTCTTCCTGAAATGCAGAACCTGATTTATCTCGATTTTAGAAATAATTATATTTCGTCGTGGCAGCCCAGTGTGTTCCAGAACGCTACAGCATTAAAAACGTTGATCCTAAGCAACAATCATATTACCAATCTCAACGAGTCTTTTCTCCCAAAATTTCTTTGGGAAAACATCGAAATTCTTGACCTGTCTTTTAACCCATTCGATTGTTCATGTGAATTGTATTGGTTCAGGAAATGGCTGAATGACAACTCCTTCAAAATTACAAAATATCCAGAACGCTATATTTGCAAATCACCTTCAGAATACAAGGACAAACGTCTTATAGACTATGATCCGTCGTACCGGCACTGCCATCCTATATCTACCGTTGTCATAGCCCTGATAGTATGTGTATGTGTTTTAGTTGCTTTCGTCAGTGTAGCGGCAATTCTTTATCGAAACAGATGGCATATCAAATATTATATATATCTACTACGATCAAATCAAAAAGGCTACGAAAAAATTCCGGAAAACGGCAGCTTCGTCTTCGACGCGTTTGTAGCATACAACTCAACTGAACGTATTTGGGTATTTTCCAAGTTAAGAGAATTTCTTGAGAATCAACATGGTATGAAATTATGCCTTCATGAACGCGACTTCCGTCCAGGCAGGCTCATAATAGACAATATAGCCGAGAACATCCGTCTGAGTAGGAAATTGATACTTATTTTGTCAAATGAATTTGCAAAAAGTCAGTGGTGTCAGCTTGAGACATTGAAGGCACAGGATCGGTTCTTTAAGGAGGGAGCGTCCTCCTTGGTGCTCGTGATGCTAGAGGATATAAGTTATCGTCACATGAACGGCCCCCTCAGCCTCCTTCTCAGGTCTATGACGTATATACAGTGGTCCAGTGATCCTGTCGCGAAGGAACTATTCTGGAACAAGTTACTTAATTCTCTGAGATGATCTCAAATTGCTATGTGTGTACATAAATTATTTTACCATTTTTTCTCAATAACTAACGAATGATTGGATTTCTATGAAGTAACCCAATAGTACACATGAAGAGTTATATATATTCATATCATTTGATGCTATCCTGTATCCCTTGAATTTTTCAACCAGTATACAAGCTGTTTGGATCCAGTTACTATTACATTATCCAACGTTTTCCGTCTTTGACCTCTGTGTACTTCCTGGTCGAGCAGGTGTGACCTCGTCCACCGTTTTGACGTGTAGAGACACCCTGTCTCTCTCACAGTTCTTGTAGAGACACCCTGTCTCTCTCGTCCACCGTTTTGACGTGTAGAGACAACCCGTTTCTCTCATGGTTATTGTAGAGACACCCTGTCTCTCTCGTCCACCGTTTTGACATGTAGAGACAACCCGTTTCTCTCATGGTTATTGTAGAGACACCCTGTCTCTCTCGTCCACCGTATTGACGTGTAGAAACACCCTGTCCCTCTCACAGTTATTGTAGAAACACCATATGTCTCACGTTTTGACGTGTAGAGACACCCCGTCTCTCCCACAGTTATTGTAGAGACACCCTGTCTCTCTCGTCCATAGTTTTGACATGTAGAAACACTCCGTCTCTCTCACTGTTATTGTAGAGACACCCCGTCTCTCTCACTGTTATTGTAGAAACACCCCGTCTCTCTCACTGTTATTGTAGAAACACCCCGTCTCTCTCACTGTTATTTCACAACTTGATTGGAACTGTTGACTACAAGTAGCTACGTTATTTTCCCTAGTAATTCACTTGAACTAACGCATTCACAATTCTTTCTTTACTGTAATTAGCCCTTGGCTACTAGTTAGCCGAAGGGATATGCGATAAAACCATCATTTTACATAAGTAATTACCAGTTTTCTTTTTTGTATTTTATATTGTACTATTGTTTCGTAGTAATTATTTTTTTTGTTTTGTTTTAATGTAATGTTATGTAATTGTTCATGTTGATGTCTTGAAAACGGGCGGGTTTTCTCGAAATTCGACAAATTCTTTTGGCTGCACTGTCGTTATTCCGTCTTTGCGTATTGCAGAGTTATCTTCTCTTGTATTGATTGTTATGTCATTTGTTTGTGAGAGTAACGTCATCAATCTTTGAGAAAACGACGTAATTTTCTCACACAAACCAATGACGTAACAATCAATACCTGCTCACAAGGGAAGATAATTCTGCAATACGCAAAGACGGAATAGATATAATATGACTCAGGCATGGCCTGGAGAGAGCGAAGCTCGTACTGTCCATTTGTTTCAATACATTTAATTTTTGAATCATTACATACATTTTAATACATAAAAAATGTCTTAATTGTAGTGACTTGTATGCTGGTGTTTTCATTTGAAATTTGATAAAATTTGTCTAACTCCTTTTGTGTTTTTTCAAATGGATCCGTATGTTACTTCCACCCAACTCCCCACCCCCCCACNGAAAGTCAGAAGTGTGTAGACAATGTTGTACCTGGTGATACTGTAAAAGCATAATAACTCAAAGGACGCTTCAACCTACATTTTGTACCATTCCCCTCCAGTAACTGGATTTTGTAATAGATGGGTAATGTGCTAAAGCAAGTTCATTTGCCCATGTATCCCAGTTTTGGTAGATTTCTGTACAAATTTGCTTTCTGAAATTTTCAGTATTTGAGAAGTCACTATTGAATGATAAACTTAGACAGTGGAAAAAACAGTTGCCATCACCAGGTACATCATATGCAGAATAGTTTTGATTTTCAATAGAAATGGTTGCTGATGGACCCATATTATGCATTCTGTTAAACACAAAGTAAAAGTGGTGACAATGGTATGTGTCTAAGTCTTCCTTAATGATATTCTTAAAGCAGAGCAAGTAATGACCCTTTAAAAAGCCTTACGTTTCCCGTTGAAAGCTGCCGGTGATTCCTTTGCACATGTGTATCTGTGTACAACTGCAGCAGACGACCCGTGAAATTTGACCTCATCAATGATCTGACCTTTTATTATCCAATGAGAATCAAGCGACCTCTTCAGTGACCCTGCTTCGTACATACTCGGGTATTTCCGTCCTAGTGGGGGATGACATCCGTGCGTTACGGTCGATTGTGTGTACAGACGGAAAATTGTATGTTAAGAAAGATGTTAGTATCACATTATTTATTGCTTTCCCAAATTTACAATATAATCACATTATTACGCACCCTTCGACGCTATTTGTTTGTGACATTAATTTTTGTTTCGTTCAACCGCAGACGATAAGAGTCTGGTTGAACGAGACTATATTAATGTAAGCTTTTTGATGATCATGCTAACTCATTTTCTCGATTCGGAAGAAAAGTAAAGAAATCGTGGAAATAAACTCGCTCAGTGTTCTGAATATGGTCAATATTTTTTTGAATATTGTCAATATTTTTTGAAAAAATCGTAGTTTCGAATACATAATTTCTGTGCTACGTTACATGTCGCTCTATTATTCGATTAGGCATATTTACGGGCTCCATGAAACCGGAAGAGGTCACCGGAAGTACGAAAAAGTTTCTAGGCTGTAGCTGTACGATTCAGTGATGGAATCAGTTTGGTTGGATCAGATCTATTTAAGTAAAATCATTGAAAAACAAAGTGCACTTATTGTGAAATCAGTTGTAATTAATACCAATAAAATATTAGGGTATAATTAGTTAAATGATATGAAAACATTATTTAGATATATAATATACAAAGGATTTTAAAACATTTCACCGAACAAACTGTTTGAAATAGCACACTAACTTGTATTCATTGTGATGCCATTGTGAATAGGCTATTCATATTACTCATCACTTACGCAGTTTAGTTTATTAACATTAAAAAAATAGTTTTATATTTTTAATCTCAATTTTAAAAGATGGATGTAACTACTTGTGTTTCTGTTCTACGTCTATTATAATTGCTTTTTATTCTTTGTACACTTCTAGTGCCCGTCACCAGGTGGGGGTCGGACATTACGATATATTACATGATTGTGTTAGTCATGTGTTAGTAGAGTCAAGCTTTCCACTGTGCAAGGAGTCGGTGGCCTGTTCAATTTCTATAGATATAGAATTTCAAAATGCGTTTTAAAAATTGGATACTTATTATACCCGTATAAAAGGCCATGAAGTTTGCTACAAGACTTTTCATTTAAATCTAAAAGTCATTAGTATAGTTTCCCGTCTAATTCTGATTTACCTTGAAGATAGAATAGAATTTCACATATAATCAGCAGTGTTATATGACGCTGCCGTATTCTTCCGTGAAGGATGTATAATTACTTGTGCCCATGTGGAGCTGTCTTACATATTAATGAAGGTGTCCCACTTTTATTAGATTGCTTTATAGAAAAAGGATCCTGTCACCAAAAGATTTGTCGGCTTAACCAGAATTCTGACAAGTTATATCTACGTTAATGTTTGTATTTTGTTTCCTATATTTGCTGTTATTTTTCTATGTCTATTATAAGATCTTTCACAAATTAAGTGATATTAAATTCCATATGTGTGTTATCATGCAATGTATGATTTGACTCTGTACTAACCGGGTGTTAAGCTGTTCATACCCTGCAACACATTCACTCTATTAAATGATATATGTTACTGTACTAAGGTATCTATTATTTAATGTACTAAAATCAAACCGGGGTTATTATCCGCCTGAACAAACGGCATTTTAAAGGTAACCTACCGACTATTTATCTGAGAGATTTGTTTGAGTTGTAGTAGACTAGGATTAGTAAAGGCCTCGGTGTAACCGGTATTCCAGGGGCTACTGATTAACAACGTTCAACCTGTCTGCTGTACGGCGTTTACCATAGTTTGTCCTCTCATATTTGTTATGTTAAAAGTATAAATACAGCTAATTGAAGTTAATCAAAACATATACTTTAAACTATGCCAAAGCAGAACATACGTTTATACTAGAGAGGTGTTGTACTCTTTGTTCACACATTACAAATCAGGTAAACCAATTTCTATTACATTTGTGTTTCTATTTGCTTACAGATTCCTATTTTACACACTTTCAGAAATGAACATTTTAAAATGTACAGCTACAACTGAACTAGCATCAATTAGGATACACACATAATCCTTCAACAAGGTAGATTGGTCGGGGACATATTTTCATAGTACCACATCACTTTAAATACTTATAACAATAAGTCTATAACGTTTCAATTCGTACTTAAATATTAATAATACCCATAAAATAATGAAACGCATAAATTTGATAGGTTTTCCATGTGCTGCTGGATGGTAACCTGTCCGTTTGTTCTTTACTGTTCTCGTGTATTGTTCTAATTTATATGATTGCAATGTTAAACAATAATAAATAATCAACTAGCATGTTTTCTTGTCTTGATTATTGAAACTATTCGTAATTGTGGTCATCCTTGTGAGAATGTCTTTCACTATTTTATGGAATGTCACCTTTTTACAAACGAAAGACGTATTTTGGTTCAAAATTTTATTAATTTGAATGTTGCGCTAAATTTAGAAATTCTTTTGTTTGGCAATTCACAATTTTCCGTGGACCTTCACTCAAACATTTTTAGATCTGTGCAAAACTTGATTAAATCCAGCAAGAGATTTTGAGTTCAAATTGTTATAACAATGGTATATATTTATTGTCATTATTGTAATGTCATTTCAAATATGTATTGGGAGAAGGCGTTGCTAAGTTAAAATTTTTGGTAATAAATATGTTTAAACTAAACTAACTATTCGTCAGTTTAGCCGTTCTGATGTGAGTGTAGCCGCTCTGATGTGAGTGTAGCCGCTCTGATGTAAGTGTAGTCGCTCTGATGTGAGTGTAGCCGCTCTGATGTCATTGTAGCCGCTCTGATGTCAGTGTGGCCGCTCTGATGCCAGTTTAGCCGCTCTGATGTGCGTGTAGCCGCTCTGATGTCAGTGTAGCCGCTCTGATGTCAGTGCAGCCGCTCTGACGTCAGTGTAGCCGCTCTGATGTCAGTGTAGCCGCTCTGATGTCAGTTTAACCGCTCTGATGTCAGTGTAGCCGCTCTGATGTCAGTTTAACCGCTCTGATGTCAGTGTAGCCGCTCTGATGTCAGTTTAGCCGCTCTGATGTCAGTGTAGCCTCTCTGATGTCAGTTTAGCCGCTCTGATGTCAGTGTATCCGCTCTGACAGTGTAGCCGCTCTGTTGTCAGTGTATCCGCTCTGATGTCAGTGTAGCCTCTCTGATGTCAGTTTAGCCGCTCGTTTGTCGGTGTTTCCGTTCTGACAGTGTAGCCGCTCTGTTGCCAGTGTATCCGCTCTGTTGTCCTTTTAGCCGCTCTGATGTCAGTGTAGCCGCTCTGATGTCAGTGTAGCCGCTTTGATGTCAGTTTAGCCGCTCTGATGTCAGTTTAGCCGCTCTGATGTCAGTTGAGCCGCTCTGATGTGAGTGGAGCCGCTCTGATGTCAGTTTAGCCGCTCTGAGGTCATTGTAACCGCTCTGATGTGAGTGTAGCCGCTCTGATGTTAGTGGAGCCGCTCTGATGTGAGTGGAGCCGCTCTGATGTCAGTTGAGCCGCTCTGATGTGAGTGGAGCCGCTCTGATGTCAGTTGAGCCGCTCTGATGTGAGTGGAGCCGCTCTGATGTCAGTGTAGCCGCTCTGATGTGAGTTTAGCCGCTCTGATGTGAGTGTAACCGCTCTGATGTAAGTGTAGCCGCTCTGATATTTATTGTTATCGCTACCAAAAATGGGCAAGATTATTTACCGAGAGAGAAAATATAAATGCACTCTAAAACACAAAGAATCCTATTCAGTTATCGCTCTTAGCGTTCCTAACTGCAACATTCATCACATTTCCTTTCAAATAGTTGGACTTAATTTGTCTGTAATTCATCTCCTTTATCCATCAAACCTTTTTCAATTAATGCTTTTTCACACATTTAAATTAATACTGTGTGAGGATTTTAAGTAAATAACATTACAGTATATTTTATTAAAAATAATATTAGACATTGACACTTTAATACTGAACACATTTATGTGCGTATATTGCACTGTTGGGTCTGTTCTACTTTGATGTAGGTATTGTACAATATTATGTACATATTAAATTATCATGGATAGTTAAACCTCTATCTCACAGAAGAAGAAGTCTTTCTATAAATATGTAAATAGTGTTTTTTTTGTATATCAGAAATATTACCTTGAACACAGTTGATGTGAGAACACTTCAATACACAGACCCTATATAAAATCTACCCCTAACGAGCACTTACACCTGTTTACACACGGTTCGAGAGCCATTTTGTACCACCTCTCCTGGTGCTATCGTAGCCTAGTAGTGAGGTAAACGATAGAGACGTCAAACATTTCAGGATTCACTGAAAACGATTCAAGTAGCCTGACCGCTACACATAAAGGTCAACATAAGTAGTTTTATTTTACTTTATCAAATGAGGATTAACGAAACACTAGACATGGATGGGTTTCAATCAGTACTCTCAGCCACAGGTTAGTCATACAATGTACTCTGACAGTTACACACGAAATGGAATCACGAGTTCGGACCAAGGAGTAACCTATGACAAGGTAAGCGTGAACATTACAAGAAACTGTTATGAAGAAAATCCTTAGACTTCTCACAACAATTGTCGAAAAGCAACCTAAACCAACAAAACTTGTCTGTTGTTAGTTATTGTAAGCTTGATTGTAATTATAAAAATGGATCATGCGAAAATAAGAACAGCCTTTTTAATTTATTTTAATTTTAAAATATTTGACCTGTGTGATCTTGAAGTAAACCAAGGTCATTAATTTCCTTTGAAAACTCATGATCAGCATTCTAAATGACAACTATCACGAGTCTTTGTTTCTTGGTAACTGAGAAAAAGTTATTCTGACCCCAGTGACCTGTTTGGTCACTCATTTAGACACCATTTTAACCATTTTCTCCAGCAGTGTACAGGCCAAATACAATGATCTAAGTCGTCATCGTTGTATCATTTGGTGAAACCCCTTTTTGACCCCTATAAAAAGTACATCAAATAATATCGTAGTGTTGAACGCGTTCCTAAACAGGCCGGGGTATATCGTCCTAAGAATTCCTAGTCATTAAGACATGTTACGGTATTTCATTTGACGTTTTACTCCAGTAAGTAGAAATCATTTTATAGAATATTAGATTTACCTGTGAGATATGTGAAATTGGCTATGCAAATTGAAATTTTAAATTTTAAAGGGCGCGTCATTAGTATAAGTAACAGTCTCTTTATCAATCATCTCGTTATAGACCCCTTGGATCGAACGTATTCAATGTTTATGTTAGATATATATAATGGAAACATCAATTACATACACAAATCAATAAAAAAACAACCTAACACAGTTAAACAGGTACCACAACATTACTGAAAGAGTACATACCTAGATAAAAGGGGAACCAATGAGAGGACATCACAAAATGGAACAAACTTGGGGATTATCGCACATTTTACCAGAGAGGTAAGCTTTATTATCTTCAATAGCTCAGAGAAGTTCTTCAGGCGTTTTCACTAAAACGAATTGAAGGTGTTAATGGCATTGAGACTTTTTCTCTGTGATGAAATGACGATTTTTAAAACAATGGTTTTACCAATTATTGGTAACAACTGACTGTTATTCATTGAATTGGCTTCAATAGAAAACGGGTTTGATCAAACATATTTTACTAAAATAATAATTAAAATCATATTGACAGATATATAAACAGAACGTAGAAGTTCACGAGATGTAGAACGTCTTTAAACAATTGTATGGCAGTGTTGAGTGATATCGTTGTGTAAACCGCGGGTTAGTTTCCGTAGGAACGTGTTTTAGGTGAAAAAGAGATTAATAATAAATATGTAAAAATTACAAAGTAACGATTACAGACCTATTACTAAATTATGTTTTAATTTACTTAAACCTTTATATCGATCGATTTGATTCAATGTTCAATGTTTTTTTCATTTTGTAGACCTTACGGCCAATAAGTTGCTAATACATAAATATGTTCAATATTTACCAACAAACATAATGTATCATAACGGAGTGTTTACATGCTTAATAGAAACAGTAACATAATCAACCCTTCAATTCAGTTTTCCTTTTCCTTTTCTGATGACTGATGGCATATAGCACCCGACTAATTAGCGCTTATCATTGACGAACCGCTTTTGAGAGATTTGTTACTACGAATATACGTCTGAGAGTCGGTTGTTTTTATTGTTATTTCAGATGTACTCCATTCTACAGTACTTAAACGTGTCTACAGCACCCTACGGACATAAGACGCAATCTGATGGATACCTGTCGGATCTTAGAGGTACTGACATTAACACTATACGCGACAGTGCTGGTGGAACCCGCCACTTACTTTGGGACTACCAGATTCCCATATCCCAGCTACTGTATCTGTCAGGAATCTAGCAAGTCCAGTAACACGGTAACTACAGTACACGAAGGTGACACTTTGAGCACAGTGACCTCCGCCTTGGCGTACACACTATTCAGCGCTGTTTTCAACATTGACGCCGACCTGGGATATTGTGTGGTGGACCAAATAGTTAGAGAAAACTTTCCGTCGTTTAAAGACGTGGATACGAGCAATATAACCACACAACAGGATCTGTTCCGGGAAGTATCAGCTATACATTTTACAACCCTCTCCTACACAGACGCCTGCATAGCCTATGTATTGTTTCCGTTCTAACGTTGTTATAAATCGCGGCAACCGCTGTTTGTATCATATGAAGGTAGTGATACTTCATGAGACTACAGTACAAGGTCAACGATGACATAACTAGTTAACATAAGATGTGTATCAAGTTAAAATAGTTATATGCATGTGTTTATATCAATAAGGCTATAAATATGAACGAAACCCTAAAAAAGTATGTGCCAATTGTTGTTGACTTCAGATACGAGGTTTCATGCTTTAGACCCTAAGTTCCACTGACGAGTCCTACGTGGACGAGATTATATTGTATTTAACTAGGTACTTCCTTAGCTGTATTTCTAGTGGTATTCAAACTCATTGTAAAAGTGCCGTAACGGTGAACGTGCACGTGTAATGCTTTTATAGGGCTTAACCTGACGCGACTTTGATAGATCTTGTTAACGTCCTAGTTCGGTATACGGCGTGTGTTTATTGTTATCACTACCAAAAATGGGCAAGATTATTTACTGTACTTCATCTTCTTTATCCATCAAACCCTTTTCAATTCATGTTTTTTTCACGCATTTAAATTAAATTAAATTTATAGAACAGAGAATGTTCTAAAAGTTCACACAGTTTGCGATTTTAGGATCAGATGTCTGCCAGAGAACAATAAATTCACAAACATGTAATGAGCATATTGCTTTGAAATTACGTCATATATAATCACAAAACGTTTTGAATACACGTACAATTCACATATCCGTTTCCATCATATATATGTGTATAATGCAATGTTCTTACTGAGGAAAATCTCACTTTATAATCAATATTTAACGCATATCAGTTCAATTTTATTTTAAAATATTACATTAACACTCACACCTGGAATTTGTGTTATCTCCCTTAGTTTTCCCAATTGGCGTTTTCTAATAATTATAATTATGTAATTCGAATAACTCACTTGCGTGTTACAACGCAAGTGTTTGTTTATTTGTCGAGTGGTCATCGAAAATTATACCACGTTCAAATATTACAATTCATAAGAGATATTTTACATGTTTTTCTAGTAATTAACTCTTTTATAAATGAAACAAATTTCACGGTAATGTAGCATATCGTTCTAAGCTTTTGTAAGAATATTTTTAAATGAACGTTCCATTACGATTACGTGAATACGGCAATGTATGTGTAAAGAGAATAAAATATGTGTATCTGAACATTTCATCTGGTTTCCATTATGAGTATTGGTTTACAGTGTGAACACCACAGACATACTGTTGTATGTGTTGTACGTCACGCCCTTGGTACTGTCTGTGGAACTCCATTGACATTTTTAACGATTGCTCTAACCATTCTGTATATGTCTAGCACTGTCCTCTAACCGGACGTTCAAACATAACTTCATTCTCTAATTTTAAATTCGTTTACAAAAGAAGTTGTAAACACTATCAACCGTTATAATTGGGCAGGCGCGAAATGAATTTCGCTTAAAGGGCAGTGAATAGACAGGGTAATTTCCATCGTTAGCAGATTCGTCAGAAAGTCATAGTCATGCCTTTATCAAGAAGAAAAGGAGTGTTTTAAAGCTGGCTTGTCTCTCCATTCATCAATGCAGTCTTAATGGTATCGACTGTGTGTTGACACTAGATCTTATTCAGATTCCTAATAAACACACCGAACCACTGATAAATCCTCGGCCACTTTTCCATGTTACACCGTACAAGGTACGTATGAATGATCGTAATTTTATATCCATAGCATTATTTATACGGACAAGTCCATATATATATATATGTTTTTTTATATTGTTATGGTTGTATTCCTAACACCAGTTTGTGTGTTGTACAGATGCTAGCGCACGACAGAAGGAACAAACTAATACTATTTAAACCTAATTCCGGTATAATTTACTTACAAGAATGAATTCCATGCGACTTGTCAACGTAGAAAACTTACATAGGTGTTCTTTTTACATACCAGTTCTTTAAAAGTGGAGCCGCTCTGATGTGAGTGCAGCCGCTCTGATGTGAGTGTAACCGCTCTGATGTAAGTGTAGCCGCTCTGATGTTTATTGTTTAATATTGCAATTAGCATTGCTATGACAATATTAAAAATTGTGTCGCCGATATACTGTAGCATCAACTTAATAAATCCTATAGCCAAATATATACTACAGCTTCAACGTCATTTATCGTACAGCTGATAATATACTGTAGCATCAACGTAATAAATCTTATAGCCAAAGATATACTAGCTTCAACGTCATTTATCATATAGCTGATAATATACTGTAGCATCAACTTAATAAATCTTATAGGCAAAGATATACTAGCTTCAACGTCATTTATCATATAGCTGATAATATACTGTAGCATCAACGTAATAAATCTTATAGCCAAAGATATACTACAACTTCAACGTCATTTATCATATAGCTGACGATATACTGTACTATCAACGTAATAAATCTTATAGCCAAAGATCTACTACAGCTTCAACGTCATTTATCATATAGCTGATGATGTACTGTAGCATCAACGTAATAAATATTATAGCCAAAGATCTAATACAGCTTCAATTATCATATAGCTGATAATATACTGTAGCATCAACGTCATAAATCTTATAGCCAAATACATATTATAGCTAAAACGTCATTAATTGTATAGCCGTCGACAAAATGTAGCATCAACGTTATATATCTTATAGACAGATCTATACCATAATGCAACGTCATTATTCATATAGCTGACGATGAGCTACAGCATTGAATTTATCAAATATATAGCTGTAGGTAATCTACAATATCGTCATTACAAATGATATAGCCAACGATATACTATACAGCCCATGTTAACTATAGTATCATCGCTTTAAATCATATCTACGACAATATGTTATGGTGCTTACATATGGATATTATATACTACGGTATACCTGCTTACAGGTTTTTAGGCCGAACTTACAGACTAATAGAACGAGGAAGAGATTCTATTGAAGGTTGACAATCTCAATCCAAGCATAAAATGTGACAGTGTAACAGCATAAAGTATATTTCGGATTGAAAAAGAAAAGATACACTTTTATTTCTGACTTATGTGTACTTCTTTTGTATACTCTTTCCACTATAATGCATTATCTTCGTTTTCACAATCCACTATGTTGTCTCGTATCATGAGTACCATGAACGATTGATAGGTCAGTGTCAGATAAACATAAAATCAAATCGTTGTTTACTTTCAATTAAACACATTTTGTGATCAGAAGAGTAAACGTACACTGTCGTTCTCCGTATGTGTATGCTAAACGCAACGCGATTTGCTTGTCCGACAGGAGTAAACAGTTTTGTATTGTGTATGATTAGTTCATTTTTGTGTTGTGTAGGTTGGCAAGGGATGTGTTGTGTAGAATAGCTAGCTACTGTGTTGTGTAGATTGTCAAGGGATGTGTTCTGTATAATAGTTAGCTTATGTGTTCTGTAGAATGGTTAGCTTCTGTGTTGTGTAGATTGTTAAGGGAATGTGTTCTGTAGATTAGCTAGCTTCTGTGTTGTGTAGATTGTCAAGGGATGTGTTCTGTAGAATAGCTAGCTACTGTGTTGTGTAGATTGTCAAGGGATGTGTTCTGTATAATAGTTAGCTTATGTGTTCTGTAGAATGGTTAGCTTCTGTGTTGTGTAGATTGTTAAGGGAATGTGTTCTGTAGATTAGCTAGCTTCTGTGTTGTGTACATTCACAAGCTTTTGTGTTGAGTAGAATGGTCAGTTTCCGCATTCGGTAAATGAGAATGTCTTAATTGAAAGACAATGAGTCTTTGTAAGCAAAACGTCGACGGGTATGTATTATTCTGATGTCACATATGGACTTGTAGTCTTGTATTCATCTATATAGTTTAAAGTCGCACATGTATATACGAATCTAAAAAAAAAAATATCAGGTGCGTTTAAAGATATTTAACATCCTCAATTCACCTTTGTATAAAAAGAAAAATAGTAGAAATGGAAATAGTAAAAACGCCAATGGTTTTATAAAAGTGCATGATATTTTCTGTTCTTAAAATTTGAAGCAGTCAGTTAGAGAATGATATAAAAACAAAATTTTGAAGTTATATTCAAAAACATAAGAACATATATAGTTAACTTTTGTCTGAGGTCATATACTGTTACACTCTGAGGTCATATACTGTTACACCATGCCCCTAGTTAAGGGTGGACATAAACAAGGTAAGACTTCAGACCAGGTATAAAAGCCATTTAAATGTGTACCTGGACCTTCACCACTTCTAGAGAGGTTGTTACATTGATATTATTCAAGTCCGAGCAGACATGGGTCTATTTGTAACATTGTGAACACAGCAACCGTCATTCATACAGTATACACAGTGAAATGCGATACAATGTTATCTTCATCCATACAAATTTACAAAACGAGCAGGTATGACGCATACGGCACTCAGTTGGAATTCCTCAGCAGGTAAGTTCGTTTTCAATCTCCAATATCACTGAATTTTCTATCATAATTTCATTAATTTAGCTTTTCATTTAAACATTCGATGATTTGATAGAACAAAAAGAAACAAACGACGTTTTATTTAGTGTAAATATATTACACCGGCTGAACAAGAACAAAATACAGTGAAACATGTAGATAAACATACATTAATGATTTAATCTAGTTGGAGCAATCGGCAATGCTAAGATGGCAACAAAGGTATTTCCGAAGGGGCTGTGACGGTCATCCCTGCTGACCAAATAGCCTTTCAGTAATAGAAAATGACTCGGGAGGTCATACGAGACGAAATGTTGACGAAAGAGTGCATTATTTGGTGTGATGTGCCAATGATTTTTAGTCTTTGTGTATCAACAAGTAAACTGAAATATTAACATCAAATACAGCAAATATTTGGACAATGGTATCGAAACATTACGCTGTAATAACAAAATTGTTGAACTGGTTTTTTTTTGTAATAAAAATAACCATTAAGGAAATCTTTCATAATAATGTAAGCCGTACTTGAAACTTTTACTAAAATGACAAACTTGTAGCACTGAAACATCGTAAATAACCACATTGAGTGTATAAAGTTGTGATTGAAATAGAAATCCATCACCGAAGTTTGTTTAAAAACAAAATAGTACAATTCGTATACGAATGTTGACTTGTCTATAACTGTTTGGCTACTACTATGCTAAGGTTTCGTCATATTGTTCACCACATACATTATGTCGGCAACATGCGCTAGACATTTGGGAAAACCCCATCCATTTAAATAGTTATGAAATATAATTATTTCACATATACTTATTTGGTTTGAAATAGTTTTTTAGGATTTCACCTTTTCTTGTTAAGTATTTATTTCTATTAAAAATCTACATCATGAAATTAGATGTAGGGTTTTATCTGTGATCATTTCATCGGATCTTGTATAATACAAAATCTATTGGTAACAATGTTATATTTTAGTGGGCTATACAACACATCAAGCAATTCTCTTTTCCATCGATATTGGCTTTTATATCTCAGACAAGAATGAATAATATATAACACATGTATATACTGGTATCAATGCTATCCTCCAGGGGACCATGAATCATATAATATTATTCTATCATGATTATATAAATACTTTTATTCAGGAAGTTGTGAATTATACAATGAATAACGATGCCAATTCATTTCTAAAATATCACTATTCCGAGGCGTCTTCATATCAAACAGTTGATCGATCGCTGTTTCCAAGCGGTCATTTCTTAACCCAAGGTACTGCATCTATTATATTGATCCGTTTTTGAATGATTAGCTTAGGTATTCAATAAGAAAACGGTTATTCATCATACCTCCACCACAAAGAATCCGAAGTTTGGAAAATATGACCTGTTTTTAACTTTGAGGTAAATATTGGTCAACTGTAGTATACGATAACAAAAGTAAAAGTTGAAAACAAAGCATGTGCTTGTCGGGCTCTTTTTTGTAGTCGGCATAAACTCACCATACGGTGTATATGAGTACTGCTTTATAAAGAATGCACGCAATGCCGTACGTTAGGTACATATTGTACAAAGCCTATTTACATGTATGTTCCATAAGGGACTGGGCAAGTGCTGTCTATTTATATGAAAACATTGGTAAATTCCGTGACCTGTCTGTATTTGAACATCATGTTTCTATTGTGACTATGTTAAACACTGTATGTTTGGTAAATATGGATTTACAAGATCACTGTGC